GAAGAACCCTTCAAGAGGTTCATATGATGAAAGCATGATTGCCAGCCTGTAGACTTCTTAGGAAGTGATTGGAACATGAAGATTTTTAACTTAATCTCTTTTGACCCATGTGGTAGTTCGAATGTCATTGGCATACATAACCTCATGAGGAATGGCACTATTAGGAGGTACAGTTTTGTTGGAGTAGGTATGGCCCTGTTGGAAGAAGTGTGTCACTGTGGGGGTGGGCTTTAAGTTCTTATATGTGCTCAAGCCATGCCCAGTGTCTCAGTTCACTTCCTATTGCGTGTGCAAGATATAGACCTCTCAGCTACCACTCCAGAGCCTGCCTGCCTCCATGCCACTGTGTCCCACCATGATGATAATGGACTAAACCTTTGAAACTGTAAGCCACCCAATTAAGTGTTTTCCTTGATAAGAGCTGCTGTGGTCCTGGTGTCTCTTCACAGCAATAGAACCCTAAATCAGACTGCCCTGTCTTCTTCATTCCTTTCTCTCGATTCCTGAATGCCATGGGGTGAACAGCCTCCTCACTCATGTGTTTCCTCTGCCAGGATATTCTCTCTTATTTTAGTCCCCATGCAACAGAGCAACGAGGTCAAGGGCCAATTCCATGAGCAAAACCAATCCTTCTCTTACGTTGTGCAGCCTGGGTATGGTTAGGGTAGCAAAGATTTTAAGCCACATCACAGCCTCAGGAATATCCCAAGGTGATGAGCTGGAAGCAGTGTCTCTCCCTCCTCCTCCTCTTCCTCTTCTTTCTTTTTTCCCCTCCTCCCCCCACTTACAGATCACGTTCCTAATATCCCTTTATTACAAACCAAGATGGATCTCTTGATTTTCATACACCTGATTGTTTATTCTCATGCAACTCATTAAAATTAAAAATATTATCAGCTTAAATCTAAAGGAAGGCAGCTCCAATCTTGGAAGTCCACCTGGACATTATGGGCACATGCTCTCCAACTGGCTTAGGTATAGTAGAGCATATCTCCTACAATGGTTAATGTCAACTGGTAAATGTGATATCTTAAAAATCCTTTTAATCACCTAAATAACAGAAACAGCTAGTGTGTATAAATGCATGAGGAAGAAGATTTAGCAGATTTTGGGCCCATTTTCCCTTTATTCACATCCACACTGTTATCAGAGGTGAGGTAAGGAGAGCTCGCTTTTCTGCTTCTTGGCACAGGGTTTGATTGTGTGACTTGCTTTAGCTCATAAAATACAGCTCAAAACATCTAAGCCATTTCCTTAGATCCCATGAGTTTCCATTTGACTCTTTCAACTCTACCATCACTACAAAAAGTAAATGACCCAGCTCATTTGTTGTCCCAAGAGAAAGCCAAGAAACACACTGAGTAAAGCCACTCTGTTGACCAGACTCTGAAGCCAAAATGCATTTGCTGACCAGCAAACACATGAGGATTCAACAAATTTCTGCTGTGTACCACTAAGAGTCTATGGTTCTTTCTAGAGAGTAGTATTGCAACAATAACTAATTAAACAATTAATCTTGCATATAGGTATTAACGTACAGTGGAAACACATTCTATTGTATGTATTAAAAAACATATAACAAAAGTAATGTATTTTTACCTTATTCTTAGCAGGGCTAGATATTCATATGATGTCACAATACCGTCTGGTGATGAGCTTCCCAGGATTCACTGAAATATGTCTAATACTTGCAGAAATTTCTTGGTTCCAAAATAAGCAGAATGTAGGAAATGAGCACAACTGAATTAAATATCTATGAAACTTTATGCCAAGGAGTCCATTGCCTTTGATGTGGGCTGTGGGTGTACTATAGTACATCCAACTGAATGTATGGTGGAGACTCAGAAACCAGCATCCATCCTTGAATTAAGAACTTCTAAAGCATGCCTGAAGGAAAAACCAAGACTAATTGAGAAAGCAGACCCAAGTCCTCTGCTTCATGTCACTCATCAGCAAGTGACGACAGCGGTCATTTTAAATATCTCTGTCTGTCTGTCTGTCTGTCTGTCTGTCTCTCTCTCTCTCTCTCTCTCTCTCTCTCTCTCTCTCTCTCTCCTCTCTACACACACACACACACACACACACACACACACACACACACACACACACAGTCTGCTTTATTGAATTCATAAGTAAAGAGAGTCCACTCTAAGTTTCAAACCACATGTGAGTCACTATGGGGAAGGATAATCTCACCCAATTGTATCATGGGAAAGTAGAAAGAGCTCTGGAAAGCACAGAAGCTCCAAAGGAGAGGAGGCATCACCTTTCCAAGCCACCTTCCCACAAGCCAGTGCACACAGCTTTCTAATGGAAACTGTTCTTACATTTTCTTAAAGAGATGTGTCTGCACTCAACACAAGAACTGCGTGACTATTGAAATTATCCTTTCGCATTTTGTCTCCTGTGGAAGACTGTGGTTTCTCTGAAAGGTTGGGGCACAACGCTTGCTATGTCTTACATATGAATAAGTACTATAGACTATGGACCTGTGCTCCATGTCTCAAATAGGAACATATCCAACCAAGTGGAGGTAGTCAACATGAAGATGCTGCTGTCCTGTGGAAAGCCTGCTTGTAACTTCCAAGTCCATTGAAGATTGAAGGTTTGATTCATCCCTAGAACACTGTGATACCGTGACACATAAATATTTGCTCCCTGAGGCCATTTCAAATATGAACTTGTTTGCCAACAGTTTTAATATTGGTGAATAGAAGCCTACTGGATATTTCCACTGTAATGAATGTACAATTCTGTAAATCAATATGAAGGCTATGGCCCTTTGTATAAAAAATAACGACAGTCATTTTACAATTTTGACAATAGGCTTTTCTCTGTGAAGTCAGGAAAAAATTCTAATTTCACTTCCCTAAGCAGAGAGGAGATATCTCACAATAGAAGAAATGGCAGCATAAATTAAAGGAGTGCATTGCATTGTCTATTCAGTCAGCTGTGTGTAAATTAAAGGGGGAGTATCTTATCTTTTATTCAGTCAGTTCTGTGAAGATGCGTTTTGAAGGGCTTGAGAGATGGTTCAGCAGTTAAAGCCGCTTACTGTTCTTGCAGAGGACCTGGGATTGGTTCCCAGTATCAACATGGCAGCTCACAACTGATTATAACTACAGCTATGGGGAAACCCAGTGCCCTCTTCTGGCTTCCACAGGATCCTGCAAGCACATGGTGCATGTAAACGCATGCAGGAACACACACACATGCATAAATAAAAGTAAATACATCTTTTTAAAGGAACTTATAATTTTTATTTTTGAGTATAACGACATCATTTCTCCCTTCCCTGTCCTTCCTCCAAACCCTCCCATATACCCCTCCTTGCTCTCTTTATAATGGATTTTGACAGTTTTGAAAATCTATAGTCAACTTGTGACTTGCTTTAGCTCATGAAATACAGTTCAAAGCATCTAAGCCATTTCCTTAGATCCCATGTCTCAAGAAAAAACATCATATATAGGAGCCCAAGGGATGAAGCCAATGTCATGTGATATTCCTCTAAATAATTGAGAAATTACAGATGACTAGCTCCAAAGAATACTTATCAGTATGTTGTGTCTCATGTGACTTATAACTGTTACAATTATTTATAATAATGGAATACATTGTTTAACACAATGAAGTCTGAAAAGGCTCATTGCCTCTAAATTTGGTTCATTCTTTCTATTTCTTTTCATTTGTAGACTCATGGTTCCACAGCTCTGGAACATCTGCCTTATTATAGGAGCAATGAACCATCTCTAAGTCTAAACGTATGTCAGCACTGTGCAAGACAAATGTCAGAGCTGCGATTTTTGCTTCTGAAATGCTTTTCTGGACAAATTCACCTACTTCCTCTACTTTTCTTCTTAGCATTATAGCACAAGTTAGAATTGTAGAGCAGTGTTATCAAGGAGGCAAAGACCTTCAAAGTCACAGAAAATGTCTTAAGTGACTTATGGCTGTCATAAGCTGAATGATTTTTAAGGTGTCAGAACTTTAATTACCTCTGTAAATGTCAAAAAAGTGTCAAACACTCCAAAAAACAAAGGCAGACCTGAAAAGCAAAAGTGAGTAGAAGAAAAATTACAGTTGAAGTTAATACCTAAGACTCAGACCTGAATAGACGACCCCTAGGAAACTAGATCCCACCACATCAACTTTTGTGTGTGATTCCTGAGGCTTTGTCTTCACTAAACATAGAAATATTTACTTCTTCTTTCTAGAGTAGGACTAGCTCAACCAGGGAGCTCCAGTGAGAGATCTTGCCTCAGTAAGTAAAATGGGGAACGATGGCAGTAGATGCCTAATGCCGAGTGACCTGTGACCTCCACTTGTATGTATACATACCTGCGCATGTACTTGCAAACATGCCTCATGCAGGTCTACACACACACACACACACACACACACACACACACACACACACACACACAACTCCACAATGGCTGTTTGGCTATGACTAAAAAGTCAAGTGAACAAAAGAAAGATAAGTTGAATATCAAAATCTGAGGACTCCAACACTGACTCCTAAAGCCACATCCAAGCTGCCCTGCCTCCCATCGCACGCCAAGCCTCCACGTCTGCACAGAGGTTCTCTGCTCTTTCCTTCACTTTGCAAGGCTGTTTTGATTTGTGCTGACCTGACATTTCTGGAGTGTCATTCTAGAATGTCACATCCTTTTAGCTGGCCTGTTTGTTTTTCTTTTCACTCCCAATGGCTCCTCAAAACCAAACAAACAAAACCTTCTGTTATTTGGATGCTGTTTTCCCTGTGGAGTGAAGCCTTGCCAGGATGATTTGTGATCAAAACCTTCTGAGTCATTCCACACTCACACGAAGCCCTTTTCCCTGCTCGAAGACCCTGAAATGGGTTTTTTGAAATATCAGGGTAAAGTGTAAGCGATTTTGTCTTTTTTGCTCTTTCAGTACCAACACCCAAAACACTATTAATTACTGTCTCAGCAAACAGAGAGAACGTTATTCCTCCAGAAACAGAGACCACACCATAATTTCACTTGAAGGGATGTACTTGACGGCTTGCAGCATGGTTTGCAACATCAAAATTGAAAGCAAGTAAAATACGCATCGGCGGCTTCCACATGAAGATACCATTGTCTGGCTGAGTGGGGTCCATAGTCAGGCCTGAAAGGGAAAATCAAGACAAAGAAAACATCAGCTTTTACCTGCTTTGGCCCAGAAGCTACACACACCACACCAAGTCCAACCAGCAGCAGTTGTCACATGATTCAGCTAAACTAGAAAAGGGTAGAAACTGAGGCAGAGGATAGAGACAGCAAGTGAACACTATGACTCATGTAAAAACAAATTTCTGAAGAATCAGTATCTGCTACATTTGAGGAAGAAAAGACAAGACTATAGTAAAACTAATAAACCAGGACCCCAGGCACGCACATGCACACACACCATTTATGCACTGTGCTCATTTCATGTCTGCTACTGAGACAAATACCCTGAACCAAAGCAAAGTAAGGGATAAAAGGTTTGTTTCAGTTCACAATTCCAGATCACAGCCCATCACTGAGAAAAGTCCAGGTAGACCCTCAAGGCGAGTCTGCTTGCTAGTCCATGGAGCATTACCTCAGACCAAGGAACTCACACACAGCCAAAGAGGCTTAGCAGTGACCATGGAAGATGCACAGGACAACGCTCATCTAACTTTCTTATAGTTCAGAACCATTCGCCTATGGAAAGGAGCTGCCCACGATGGTTGGGCCTGCCCACTTCAATTAACAGTCAAAAAATTCCCCTATGGACAGTTCCTCAACTGAGGCTTTTCATCAGATGGCTCTAGGGTGTGTCAAGTTGACAGTTAAGCTAAGTAGAATATACGTGAATGGTACCTATGTTTATAGACAATTGGACTTAACAAATAAAACCTTTTAGTTTGTAATTAACTTCTCCTCAAACATCAAAATATAGATGAAAGAAGAAAAGTATAACAGAAACTCATGGCCAAATAATTTGTGTTTTTCAACTTATTTTATTTTGTCTCAATATCCTATAATATGTGAGTGTGTGTGTGTGTGTGTGTGTGTGTGTGTGTGTGTGTGTGTGTAGTTTGGTACATGATAAGTCGAGATAATTTTATATAAAGCAGCTCATGGATGTGCTTAAAGAAAGGATGAGCTTTACTTTTTTATGAAAAGGGTGTCGTGTTCCAGGGTCTACATTCATTATATGTATATACTCTTATTTTCCACAGCCATCCTCTTAGGCAGGCTTGTCATCCAGATGTAAAAACTGAGGTGCATTAATGAGGTACCGTGATGAGATCATGCAGAATCCCAGAGTCACATAGTTGAAAAAGACACGTCACATAGAGGATGCACTTTTAGTCACATTAGAAACCGCCCCCACTTAAGGCAATGGCCATGTGCCACAAATGCCACATGGGTAGGTTGTAGTCTATATGGAAAGACAGTTGGAAGAGCAATATGTCAAAACATTTTTAAAAAAGACTTAAATATCTTTCCCTTTATACTGTTACATCAGAATTGGCATGGAATCAATCAGCAGGCAGGGTTATACAGTTCCAAAGAAGCACTGTCTGGAGTCTGTATCCTTTGGACTCCACATCCAAGGAGACCTTGATCACCCATGTTTCTCTTTCCCGCCATGAATTTCTGAAGTCAACAAGAAGCTGTTAGGTGGAAGCCCAGTTTGAAAACTCTGTTTCCTCACTCTTTCCCACATTGTGTCCTTAGATTCCACTAAGGCAACAGAAACTACATGAAAAACCAGAGTGGGCAATGACGTCGTGCCAAGAGGCTGGCAGTTACAGCTTGTTCTGATCATTCGGTGGCAACTATGAGAGATACACAGACTTCATAAGGTGACTAACTTGTAGATTTTTTTAATTATTGTGAGTAATATCAAGTGTGTGGTGTCCATACATAAAAGTGTGTTGGACTGCACCCTCACAGCTGAAAGGCCCAAAGCTACTCTGGAGACTCAACAGGAGATCTGAGTAGTTCTGACAGAGATCCCTGATGGCCCAAACAGCTTAAAATATCTCCTTATCTGGCCCCTACTGTGACTGCTGACCCCTGGCCAAAGGACTCACAAAGGGTCTCTTGCTGCAGTTTACAGAATGTTCTGAACTGACTTTGCTGAGAAATTTCTTATTTGTGGAATATCTCTTGATACATCTGTTTTCAGGAATATGAAATTGGTGATTTTATTCTCGACCTGAAGGCAGGAATGTTAATAGAAAGGAAGGAAGGGCTAATAGATTTCAGTTTGCCTGTGTGTGACAGTCCAGGTAAAAAGAGGGACAAGTTCTAAACATCCTCCATAGTTCCTTTCTGAGGAAGAGAACGATGGGGCAGACAAGTCTGAGAAAAGAACCCTACCCATTACTAAAACTACCCACCAAAATTTCTACACTGTTTTGAGGGGATGTGGAGTGTGATAATAAATAAGCAAAATGTCACATAAAAGACAGTCAGTTAAGAATTTTTGTGCTAATGTTACATACACTAAGGATAAGCAGTGTAAAGATATAGTTCCTAAAACCTTGGAGAATCGATAATCACAACCCGACAACTGTTGGCATCATTTTACTTAGACTTTTAAAGCTGGTCAGGCGTGGCTTGCTGACCAGCACATTCTCCTACTGTGAACTAACAGTGACCTCCAGTGGCTGAGGCAGGTAAAAGACAGTCATAAGTTGATGCCTTTTCTAAGTTTCAAATGCCATTTCTACTTATTTAACAAGTATGTACAGAGTGGCATTGTGTTCTTGGTACAATTCTGCATACAGGCAGGTTTTGGAAGGCGTATACTGTGACGTGATGAATGAGAACCCTGTACCAGGTACTTTCTCACTGACCTGAGCCCTGGGTGTCTCAGTGCAGCTTATGAAGATGTACTCCATGCAAGAGTGTACATTTGCAAAGAGGAGGTGCTAATGTGGTGTTATTATATATAGCTTCTTCCTCTTTATTGTAAATCATGTCCTGCCCCTTGGTTAGGGCTTATGGAATCAATATAGGAATGGGCAATAGAACAGCTGGGCACATGATTGGGAGGAAAGTGGTACTTTCTGAAACCTAAAACATTAAGTTAAGCCCAAGAGCACAGGGAAGCAAAAACATGTACCAGTTCTGGTGAAGTCACCAAGGTAAACACTGTGGGCTACCACTGCCTCCCGGTTCCCCATTACTGTGGCTCACCAGTCACCAAGTCACCCACAATTCTCCTTTCTCAGCAGCTGAATTTGGCTGGAATTAGAAGATCAAACCCAGACTGCTGGGATTTGAACTTCTTGTGAGAGCAGTAGTTTAAATGCCCATTCCAGGAATTATTTTTTATTGCTATCTAAAAGGTTTCTATCCATTTATTCATTTATTTTGAAGTTAAAATATAGTAAGATCATTTCCGTCTTCCCTTTCTTCCCTCCAACCCTCCCCATGACCCTCCTTGCTCTCTCTCAAATTCATGGCTTCTGTTTAATTGTTCTCTCTCTCTCTCTCTCTCTCTCTCTCTCTCTCTCTCTCTCGCACACACACACACACACACACACACACACACACACACACACACACACACCTGTGTATTCCTAAATGCATAAATACGTTTTGGTCAGTCCACATAATGTTACTTGTATGTATATGATTTCAGGGCTGACCACTTTGTACTGGAAAACCAATTGGGGGCTCTTCCCTGGGAAGAAGAATCCTGCTCTCAGGATTCCTTATGGTGGCAATGCATTCTCTTTTTCAACGTGTTGCTGCCTTTGTGTGCAGCAAAGCCTCACTATTGTCTATAACCGCAAGAGGACACACTGACATGCTGAAGATGGAAAGAGAAAAATAGAAAGCACGTAATTACTTTTTTCTTTATTTTTGAGAATTTCATACATAAAAACAATGAAATAATATATCTACCCCCATTACCCCCATAACTCCCAACATACCTGCTCCCAACTTCATGTCTTCTTGGTTTGTTTATAGCCAGTAAGTTCAGTTAGTGCTGCCCAAGTGTACATGTGGGTGGAGCCACCTATTGGAGAATAGGAATCCTGCCAGGGACCGCATCCTCAATCCTCAGCAAGTATCCACTGTCACAGTTCCTCAGTAAGAGGTGGGATGGGCTAGAGAGCCCTATGCCATCTATACCATGACTCTGGCTGGCTTGACCTGTCCGTCTTGCACTGGTAACAACAGCAGCTAGGAGCTTGTGACTGTGACAGTCCCATCCTGTCCAGAGGCACTTCACAGCATCCCTCCAGTCCTCTGGCTCAAGTTCTTTTCTCCTCCTCTTGCGCAGTGTTCCCTGGGCCTTGGTGGTGGTGTGTGTGGCAGGACAGGTGATGCAGATGTCCCCTCTAGAGCTGAGCATTCAGCCTTTTGTTCTCAGTTACGCATCTCTCCGTTGACTGGTTTCTCAGACCAAGGTTGAGAGAAGCCCGGGTCTCTCAACACCAGGAGCTGAGCAGGCGTTTAAATTTGGACCCAAACACCAAATTCTTGGCAGTAGCATTGTGCTATGGACTCAGTCAACCCTAGGACTGTTCATCTCTGAACTTCTCGCTGTCTAAGAAATTACATCCATTGCTTCTGAATCTAGCCTCACCCAGAATCCCAACACTTGCTGCCATTTCTTCAATACAAGGTGTCACCACTGTCTGAGGCCTCCATGCTTGGGGATGCCTGGGCTTTTGGTCCGCGTCTTTCTTTTAATTGTCTATAGAGAAAATTAAATATAATGCACACTATACTAGAATAGCAAGAGCTTAGATAATAGATAAATCTTTATAAAAGGGAAGTCTTTGGTTAAATGTCTGAGTCTGGTGAAGGCTGATATGACTCAACATTGATTTTAGTGACAGGTCCACACTATCAGCCAGGCACGAAGCTGGTTAGGGTACTCCACCTGCCCTGAGGCTTACTGACTGACTTAAATGAGATGCTGCCCTCGGAGCCCAAGCTGCTGATGAACACTGGTTAGCCTGTTTTCATCATCTCTGCTGCTGTCCAAGCTGCCATCCACACTGCCACCCTTTATACCTCACCGAAAACTCACTTTGTCATGACACACTTTCTCCATGTTCAATCCAGCTGCTGATTTATGTCCCCTTTGTGCTCAAGTCTGTGGCCTGAATTTTAAGCAGACCTGCTTAATTTTCAGTCATGGAATATGGGGGCCTGTTCTGTCTCTAAATATATACCTGGATAGCTGAGGTTTTGGTCCTCCATGACTTTGTACTCCCAAGTCCCGTGGCTCTTCTCAGTACCATTAGCCTGAACGCAATCACTGGTCAGTAAACAATGAGAATTGCTCATCTTAACATCTGCACTAACACACAGGCAAAGCACAGAACAGAACAGCCTCTCTTTTTATGGCGGAGGCCTTGGGAGTTCCTCTCCAGCTTTATAAAAGCCACATCCTCTGCCCAGGCCAGGAGTAGTCAGCCACTTATGTGGGAGTAACGTAAATTGGAATTTGGCCAAAGAACCCACAGCTCTATCAGCCGGACACAGTGTCTCTCTGCTTTATGTCAGCCATTAAGCAGAGCTGTCCCTGTCTCACACTCCTTCCACGTGGTTCAGTGACTCATTTAGCAGCACGGACTCACGGTGTCGGGGAGAGGGCTCAAGTCCTTCTACGTGCTGTTACATGTGTGGACTCATTTCACACTCATGGCACACAACGCGGTGGGTACAATGACGACCTACCACACAGGAGACGGTAGGGCACAGAGAGGCCAAAAGAAATCGGCCAAGCACAGGTCTGAGGTTTGACTCCGGTCACCTGACAACAGTCCACTCTTTCCTCCACACTTTGTGCAGACTGCGACCCTGGAGCACGCCTTCCCTATTAATTACCACTGTATTAATTAGCCACGCATGATCATCTACCACACACAAACTAGGAGATAAAAGGCAAAGTACACATTATCTCTATGCCATCTCACAAACAGAGAAATGGATGGTGAAGAGCCTGTGTTCCTCTGGACCATGCTAAAGTCATCCGCCCCCTTACTGTCCTCTTCCGGGTTAGATAGCTGACAGTCTATGCTAAGGTTTTTATTATTGCTCTGCTTTTAGCCTATAAGGGTAAGGTCAAGTACAACAGGCTAGTCCGCTTTAAACAACAGGACTTTACCTTCTTACAAGTCACAATCAGGATGTCAGCCGGGTTCACTTCTGCTGAGGCCTCTTCGCTGAGCTCATGGACCACAGCCTCTCAGAGTCTTCACATGATGGTGCCCAAGTTTCCTTTTTTATGAAGATAGTGGTCATTCTTAAGACCCACCCTGATGACCTCATTTTAATTTAAATTACCTCTTTAGTGATGCTTTCTCCAAGCATAGTAATACTGAAGTTGATGTGTGGAGGGATTACAACTCAGTCCATGATACTGTGTCAATACCTACCCCGACAACATTTCCATAAAATGCTTAGACTTCTGTAATGACTACATGCCCCACTCCAACACACAGGCACACTGGGAAGACTTGAAAACCTTTCCCAGCCTGAGACAGAAAAAGAACATAATTATGTACATTGTAAACAAAGCACACAACTGAGATGCTGTAGATGTTCCCTGGGGATAGACAGCCTTTCAGCTAACCGGAATCACGGTTGATAACTGTTTGCATAGGCTAATTTAATATTGGTCTCATTAAACATGTTACATAGATTTGAAACATAGAGGGAAATTTATGTACCAGAAATTAGGATGGACTTCCCCACAAGTACACCACCTAGAAGTAGTAGAAATATGTCAGATAGCTTCTGGAACAGGGTAAGAATAAGTCCTAAAAACAGTGAGAAAAATCAATGTATTTCTGGGGGAAGGTCTCATTATGTCATCCACAGTGTGTCTATTATCTACTGCTGTGAGAGTGAGGGCAGGGATCCTGTAGTACGTTTCACCTGTTTTCATGCAAATAAATAATAAAATTAAACAAGAAAACATGTAACAAAGTGAGTGGTGTTTTATCAACTCCTATGTGTCAAAATAACCCAGTATTTCATGTTTGCCTTCTCAAGAGAGTAGAGTCTTTTCTCTCAACATATGTAATTATATTCAACTAAAAATTAATGCTTTTGAAAAACAAGGCTCCTGTTTCTTTTTTGCATATAACTGGACAATGTTCTCCACCCTGTGGCTATTAAATCCACCCCAGAGCAGCAAATGTGAGTCTTTAAGTGAGCGTCACTGGGGCAATGTCCTGCCCCTGAAGATCCCTATACTGTAGCATAATTCTACAATCTACAATCACATTAACAAGCCCACACTTGCATGGAGTTCTAGTGGTTCACAGTGGACTTGCCACATCACTAAAAAGGGCTAGCAGACCTCAAGAAGGCCACTGTTAAAACTGGATAAACTGAACAGATGCCCACGTTCACCACGGTTGTGAAAGTCCCCAGTTTTCCTGTCGTCATAAGACAACAGTGATATGAGGACAACAGAGGAGGAGAGTAGACCCGTGTCCTCCTGGAGTTACCCCAAAACACCAGCTTATCAATGAGAATGAAACTTCGAGCTGACGACATAGTAAAGACATTTTCTCTCTGAAATTTTATTTTTATCATGATGACACATGTGTTCCTTGGAGAACTTCAAGTTTTTGTAAATAACAAATGTTGAAAATATTAGTATTGTTTCCTTGCTCATGAAATCAAATAACAAAAAAAAAATGCCTACTCAATGAGAAGCCACTGAATAAAAATAATAATTCCTGTGATGTCAGAAACCACTCTAGACTCCAAGGTAGTGTTAAACTAGAACCCACAATGTAGGACAGGCAGGCCCCAAACTATGGAGATCCGCCTGCCTCTGCCTCCCAAATGCTGGCATTAGAGGTGTCCACCACCACCACACCCAAATTTTACTTTTAATTTTAATATTATTACAGTGATCTTGTTTCTACAGATTACTAATAACATCTAAAATGGTATATTTCAAAGAATAACCTCGATAATTATACAGACCAAGGTTTTTAAGATACCTGCTTCTCTGCAAGAGGACAACTCAGAAAAAACTCCTCAGCGAGGGTCATCAGAAACCCGTGAAAGCTCCCACGGGAGTGACACCAGGCGAGCAGCAGCATCGGACACACGGATGGAGCCCCGGCAGCTTCTGTCCTCGGTGGCCACATCAGAATACAGCCATGTTCCTTTCATCCCCAGGGAACGTATTCTAGGGAAGGAGGTAGACCAGGGAACAAACAAGACGAGGGAGAGTGGGCTGGGGAGGAGTGACCGATGCCGCCATCCCCTCCTCGTCTTCTGACACTTCAGCCTAAACTTGTGTGACTACCAGGGAAGAAGAGAACACTGCGGCTAGACACCTTAATTCCCTGGAGAAGGGACCCGGGAATGTGCTGCCATCTGCGAGATAAAACTGTTTGTCCAGGAGCAACTCCTGAGAAAAAGAAAACCAAGTCTCCCTGACATGTCCAGCACATCCCATAAAATGCTTACACCAGGAAAGCGTGTCGTGTTCTAGGTCCTGATGGCAGACGTCCATTGCCTGAAACTGACTTCGCTCACCCTCAGTCTACCAGGGACCTGTCCATTCCTTATCTATTTTGTTTCTTGAAGATTTTTCAACCTTTTTTGGTTTTGTTTTAATCTATATTTTTCAAATTTATTTATTTATTTAAATATAACTTTTTTAAATTAATTTAATTTTACGTATCAGCCACGGATTCTCCTGTCCTACCTCCTCCCACCCCCTCCCCACCCTCCCCCCAATCCTCCCCCCATTCCCACCTCCTCCAAGGCAAGGTCTCCCCTGGGGATTCAGCTCAGACTGGTAGATTCAGTTGAGGCAGGTTCAGTCCCCTCCTCCCTTCACCCAGGCTGAGCAAAGTGTCTCAGCATATGCCCTAGGTTCCAAAAAGCCAGCTCATGCACTAAGGACAGGTCCTGGTCCCACTACCTGGGGGCCTCCCAAACAGTTCAAGCTAATCAACTGTCTCACTTATCCAGAGGGCCTGATCCAGTTCCATGGGGGCTCCTCAGCTATTGGTTCACGGTTCATGTGCTTCCACTAGTTTGGCTATTTGTCCCTGTGCTTTTTCCAACCATGGTCTCAATATCTCTTGCTCATATAATCCCTCCTCTATCCCGCCAATTGGACTCCTGGAGCTCCACTTGGGGCTTGGCCTTGGATCTCTGTATCTGCTTCCATTGGTCACTGGATGAGAGTTCTATCATGACAGTTAGGGTGTTTGGCCATCCTATCACCAGAGTAGGTCAGTTCAGGCTTTCTCTTGACCATTGCCAGTAGTCTATAGTGAAGGTATCTTTGTGGATTTCTGGGGACCTCTCTAGCACTTTGCTTCTTCCTATTTCCATGGGGTCTTCATTTATCATGGTATCTCTTTTCTTGTTCTCCCTCTCTGTTCTTGATCCAGCTGGGATCTCCTGCTCCCCTAAGCTCTCTTTCCCTGGACCCTTGCCCTTCATTACCTCCCCTCATGTCCTGTTTGCTCATGTAGATCTCATCCATTTCTCTGTCGTTGGGAGATCCCTGTGTTTCTTAGGGTCCTCTTTACTAGGTAGCCTCCCTGGAGTTGTGAGTAGCAGTCTAGTCATCCTTGTTCCACATCTAGTATCTTCCTATGAGTGAGTACATACCATGTTTGTCCTTCTGAATCTGGGTTACCTCACTCAGGATGATGTTTTCTAGATCCATCCATTTGCCTGCAAACCTCATGATGTCACTGTTTTTCTCTGCTGAGTAGTACTCCATCGTGTATATGTACATTTTATTTATCCATTCTTCAGTTGAAGGGCATCTAGGTTGTTTCCAGGTTCTGGTTATTACATACAATGCTGCTATGAACATAGCTGAGCATGTGCCCTTGTGGTATGATTAAGCATTCCTTGGGTATATGCCCAAGAGTGGTATAGCTGGGTCTTGGGGGAGATTGTTTCCCAATTTTCTAAGAAAGCACCATATTGATTTCCAAAGTGGCTGTACAAGTTGGCATTCCCACCAACAGTGTAGGAGTGTTCCCTTTGCTCCACATCCTCTCCAACATAAACTGTCATTAGTGTTTTTGATCTTAGCCATTCTGATGGGTGTAAGGTGGTATCTCAGAGTTGTTTTGATTTGCATTTCCCTGATGATTAGGGATGTTGAGCAAGTCCTTAAATGTCTTTCAGACATTTGAGCTTCCTCTGTTGAGAATTCTCTGTTTACTCTATAGTCCATTTCTTAATTAGACTGTTGGGCATTTTGATGTCTAATTTCTTGAGTTCTTTATATATTCTGGATATCAGCCCTCTGTTAGATGTGGGGTTGGTGAAGACCTTTTCCCATTCTGTAGGCTGTCACTTTGTCTTGTTGACCATGTCCTTTGCTCTACAAAAGCTTCTCAGTTTCAAGAGGTCCCATTTATTAATTGTTTCTTTCAGTGTCTGTGCTACTGGTGTTATATTTAGGAAGTGATCTCTGGTGCCAATGCATTCAAGACTACTTCGTACTTCCTCTTCTGTCAGGTTCAGAGTAATTGGATTTATGTTGAATTCTTTTTAAAATTGATTCTTTGGGAGTTTCACATCATGTATCCAATCCCTCTCATTTCCCAGTTCTTCTATATCTGCCTTCACCCTTGTAGTTTTCCCCTCCTCCTGCAAAGAAAAACTAAAAAAGCAATAATAAAAATAAGATAAAAATAGAATAAAACATACAAATAAAACAATTAACAAAGGACAACAACAACAAAAAAAAAGCAAACAAAAAACCGCTTCACTCCTCCATCTTTCCTGCCTCTCCATCACCTCTTCATCTGTCTTGGTGGTGTTGGGAGCTGCTGTGTGTCATGCAGCACACCCTTTTGTCCACACAGCTTTCCTTGCAAATGTTCATTGTGGAATGTGTTGCTGGTCAGTTTCAAGGCCTCTGGCTTCTGGTATGCCATCAATGCTGGACCTTCACCAAAACTCCTCTTGGATATCCTGCTGTTGCTCAGAGTCATAGAGATCCCGTGGCTATGGTTCCATGGGACCAGTCCCTTTCTGAGCTCTGGCAGGTCCCAGATGGGGTAGATGTTGGGGAGTGCCAACTCAAAGCCCTAGATATGTGCATGGGTGGCAGCTGAATTGGTCTGATTAGCCACTGGGACCACACCCCTCAGGTAAGGGGTGGAACCAACTCTCCCACACCCATAATTAGAGGTGGGGCCAGTTTTCCCAAGTGTGTGGGGAGGGCTAGAGGGGCGAGTTTTCTTATGAAGGGCAGGGCCAGCTCTCCCCAGGTCAGTGAGAGGCGAGACTAGCTCAGCATGGCCCTTGTACTTCAATACACGGTTCAACACAAGGTTCTCATGGGCCCCTGCGGTAGCATGGCCAAGAGACGTCAACACAGACCCCAACTGCAGCAGGACCATGGATCTAGACATGGCCATCAGCAGCAGCTTGGGCCCAGATATCACCCAGCTGGGCAGCCCAGACCCTGGGCAGTTGCACAGCCTTTCATGGTAGCAGGAGCCACAGACCTTAACACAGATCCTAGCTGCAGTAGGGCCATGGACCCACACATGGCTCCTGACCACAGCTCAGGCCCAAACATCAGCACATTCCTGGGAGGCAGTGCAGGCCACCCCAATCTGTATTGGCCTGGTGGCAGCATGACCCTCAGACACCAACATGTCTTCAGGTGTCAGCCCAGACCCTGGGAATTTGCATTGCCTTCGGTGGTAACTGGAGCCAAAGACTTTGATGCAGACCCTGACTGGAGTAGGGCCAAGGACCCAGACATGGCCCTTGGCAGCAGCTTGGGCCTGGTCAACACCATGGCCATGGGTGACAGTGTAGGCCACTCAGATTAGCATGGCTCAGGACCCCAACATGGCTACGGGTGACATCCCAGAACCCTAGCATCTGTGTGGCCTTTGGGGGCAACATGGGCCATAGACATTAACACAGACCCTGGCTGTGGCAGGAACATGGACCCAGACATGGTCCTCAGCAGCATCATGGACCTGAATGTCACCACAGGCCACTCAAATGGACACCACCAGGGCTGTAGAGTGGCCCTTGGACACCAACATGGCCCCAGGGAGGGGCCCAGAGTCCAGCATCCTCACAGCCTTCAGTGGTGACAGGAACCATGGACATCCACCCAGACATGGCCCTTGACAACAGCCCAGGACCACACGTCACCATGGGTCAGGGTGACAAGCAGGCCTCCCACATCAGCCCTTTCCTCACTGCCTTCGACTCTTCAGATCCACTTCTCTCCACAGGACAGGACCTATTCTGCTTCTCTCTCTCTCTCTCTCCCACACCCCACCATATATCTGCTTACCAAAAAGATACCTGTGGCTTCTTCTTCCCACCCAGGGCAAATGGCCTGGGTGGGCGTGTGTGTGTCCACCTCCACTTGCCTGGTCCTAATGGGCTCAATTTTTTAGTGTAAGTATGTATACGTGTGTTCATATACTGCAAAGTTGCTGAAATGGAACTTGAAGTTGGGCATGGGTGTATCCCTGTAATCCAGCACTTAGAAGATGGTAGGAGAATCAGAATGTCAGGGCTATTGTGTGCTAAATGAAACCCTGTCTCATAAACAAACAAAAATACAAACTCAGAAAGAAATAGTATTCTTAAAACTCCATTTAAAATGTCAAAGATGGAGGCTGGAGACATGGCTCAGGGGTGAAGAGCACTTGCTGCTCTTGTGGCCAAGATGGGTTTGGTTCTCAGCACCCACTTGGCAGCTCACAATCATCTGTTACTCCAGGTCTAGAAGATCTAACACCATCTTCTGGCCTCCTCTGGTACCATGGTGAGCACACACACATGCGGGCAAGCACTCATGCACACGAAGTAAAAATGCATAAACCATTTGTAAATGTCAACAGGGCTAGACATGGAGGTGCACTTCTTTAATCCCAGCACTCGGGGGGCAGAGGTAGGTGGATCTCTGCAAGTTAGAGGCTAGCCTCATCTATATTACAAGTTCCAGGCTAGCCAGGGCTGCATAGTAAGATTCTGCCTCAAAAACAAATCTCAAAGACATATTAAGGACAATTTTATTAGTAACTTAAATAGACTGTCTATACACAATGTTTAATTGCAATGTACTCCAAAAGTAGGGGTATGCTTGAGATGGTTTTGAAGGAAAGAATCTATCAAAAGATGATACACTGTTGTACAAGGCAATTGCTTAGTTACTGGCCCATGGGTGAGGCACTTGCTTTGTGCTCCTCGCATTTCTAAGTAGAAACATTCCTGGAACAGCACCAGTAGAGTCCCTTTTCTTCCTTCCTCTAAAGAATGACATTGGATAAAAAATTCATCATGTCAACCCAGCCCTTTCCTCTCCTCTCTGGACTCTGCCTTGCTACACACTGGAGGCATCTCCTTCGGTTATTCTGTGCTCAGTGAGGCCGAGTCTACCCTTGAAATACCCACTTGCTGTTTTTCAGAGGTTAGGCTAACTCAGAGAGAAATCATAGCAAATTCACATCTCTACCATCTAAGTTACTTTAGTCAAAATGGCTGTTTTTCCACCAAAATCTGTTTTCCTTGCCCTGTGTACATGAAGATAGACAAAATTTCCCAGCTTACCTTCTATTAGGTTGAGTCATGTGTCTGAGCTCTAGGTCAAAGCATGTAGTTACATTTATGCATATGACCTCTAAAAAAAGTCACATCCCCATTTTCACCTTCCAGCCTGTGCCTTCCCCAGTTTTCAGCAGCAGATTCTGAAGCCCTAGAGGATGAGAGAGCCACTTTGGGAAAGGTTCACTGAATGACTAGTTCAAAGGCTATCAGCTAAACTGGAACAACATTTTTTAAAATTTCTACTAAATGTGTGTGTGTGTGTGTGTGTGTGTGTGTGTGTGTGTGTGTGTGTGTGTGAACAAGTAAAGAGGCCATGGATTTAAGATCCATGGGGGGCATAGGAGGGATTGGAGGATGGAGAGGGAAAAAGAGAAATGGTGTAATTACATTTAAATTTCAAAAAAATATCAAAAACAACTGAAATAAGCTTTTGTTAAGTCTCTGAAAATTTAGATGGAGTATGAATAAAGACAAAAAAATTGAAAACACTGTGGCTAGACCTTCTAATTCCCTGGAAAAGAGACATGGAATGTGCTGCCATCTGTGAGCTAAAACTATTTGTCCAGGAGCAGTTACTGAGAAAAATCAAAGCACATTCTGAAGTCTCCCTAATGTGTCCAGAACATCTCACAAACTGCTTACACCAGGGAAGCACTCATATCCTAGGCCCTCACGACAGACCATCCATTGTCTGCAACTAACATCACTCATTCATAGTCTGTAAGAAAACTCGTTCTTTATCTCGTCTTATTGCTCAAATAATTTCAAAACTATGTATGTCTATATAATACATATGCAAACATAGTATATGTGAATATATCACAATATGCAAATATATCATATATATATAAATATATCACACATATGTAACTATATATGGCAATGTTGTTGAAACTATATTTAGTACAACACAAATATTACAATAAATAAAATCACATTCTCCACAGAGATTGAGACATGTAAGACACCGACGCTCTCTGAATGCTGGCTAGTTCTCAGTTTTCTCTAATGGTGGAAGTGGAAAGAAGGTGGTGCTGACTGAATCCTTAATGCCACAGCCAACAGTGTGCTTATTTGGTATTTAGGTATAACATAGGCGCCTTGGGTGGGATTTAGGTTCTATCAGATGAGCTATGCTACTGGTGAGCTTCGGTAAACTTCATAAACCAGAGTGACCTAAAGCTGGCCTAATGTTTAATGCAAACATTGTTTAAGAAATATATTGTTGCCTCCTCATGGTCAAGAGTGTGTGCTGCTCATGCAGAGGACCTGAGCTCAGTCCCTAGGACCCATGTCCACCCTCTTATAACTTCAACTCTGGGTTCCAGTGCATTTGGCCTCCAAGGACACCTGCATTTGTGTGTGTGTGTGTGTGTGTGTGTGTGTGTGTGTGTGTGTGTGTGTGTGTGTTGGTGCATTCCCTTAGGACTAGCTTACTTTGTGAGCCTCCTTCAGTCTCAATGAGAGGCCCTGTCTCACACAGCAGGGAGGAGCAATGACACCCAAGGCTGACCTCTCACTTCCACATGCATATGCACACACATCCACCTGCACATACATGCACAAGTATTTGTGTGTGTGCATTCACACATGCACACATAGAAATACCATGTGGTTACCTTAGCAAAGTTGACTTCTACTAAATTATATGCTCCATAAGTTTTTATGTGGGCCATATTTCTAACTGTGGAAGACAGTATGTTCTTAAATATTCCTAGAGGGTAAGCTGGTGTCATATATAAGAGATGGCCTGGCCTGGACTTTGGGAATAGTTCAGTGATTGTGTCATGCTCATATGCTGACCCTCTCTCTAAAAGAATGCAATTGAAGTCCTTTGTACAATATAGGGAATGCTTTTCAGTGTTAGGCATTACATAATTCCTGTATAACTATTCCTAGTGAGAGGTAAGACAAAACATGGATTTCAATCTATGTAAGGAACTCTTCTACAGACGTGTTTCTTCTCCCTCAGAACACAGAACCAAATACTCTATTGCTTGTATTTACAATGGAGTAAGGATTGTTTTAACAGTTCAGAAGAAGATCAACCTTTTTTCTAATTCCATGAACATGTACATGCCATTCATTCACACAAAGTAGTAGATCACATCTATTGGTGAGTCCTTTAAAGATTTTACTAGTGCAGTTCAGTCCTATCTTAGTGTTCTGTTGCTATGAAGAGATGCCATGACTATGGCAATTCTTATAAAGGAAGCATTTGATTGGGGCGAGCTTACAGTTCAGAGCTTTAGTCCATTATCCTCATGGGGTGGGGGGAATATGGTAGCAAGCAGGCAGCCAAGAGTTCTACATCTGGATCCACAGGCAACAGGAAGAGAGAGCCACTGGGCCTGGCTTGGGCTTTTGAAAACTCAAAGCCCATTCCCCAGTGATATACATCCTCCAAGGCCATACCTCCTAATCCTTTCAAATAGTGCCATTCCTTATTAGTCTATTGGGGACATTTTCATTCAAACCATCACACCTCCCTTGTGATAAATGGTAAAAGTGGCCATGGGAAGCCAGCAGTGTCTTGGAGAGGGGCAGGTGGAAGCGGGCAGTCACTAAATACATAGGAACCCCAGGTAGAAACAGAGGCAATTACCTTTGAGACTATATCTCCCTGACATATGGATACTCTGAGATGTAATTTGACTCCTGGAAATCTCCCCCAGGATACAAAACTTGGGAACCTGAACCCCAGTAGAATGTGAGCACTGGGTGTTCCATAAGATAGCCATCTGAGCTGGCCTGACTTACAAGAGACTTCCAGCCTCTTAGGTGAAGAGATGAACTATGCAATTGATACCATGTCTGCCCTGGCATTTCTGTCTATGCAGCCAAGATAGTAGTTTAAAAGAAAAGAAATACTTTTGTAATAACTGAATCTTAGTTACTCACTTGAGTGTAATTGGTCCAAGTAAAGAAATCATTATCTAGACCACAAAGTTGTTCTATTATAAATGGTCAAATATACTAGTCCTGTGGATCCCCCTTCCCTCTCTGTCTCTCTCTTCCTCTTCTTCTCTCATCTTCTGCCAATTGTATATGATTTATTTTAGCCACAAAGCTTGCTGAATTTCTTATTTTCAAAAGGTCGTTTTGGTAATAGCTTTATATTTTCCTGTTTTATGCTTCCTGTCTAGGGAAATTTTGCAATTTGCTTATGTTTACTTTTAATCATATTAAACTTAATTGAAACTATTTCTAACTCATTTTCATAGCAGTAGGTACTTCCTTTTCTCACATTAACGATATTTTACAACTAAGTATCTACACTTTCACTTTCCAGTAAAATTCATATAACATCTGGGTTTGGGGAAGTTAGGAAGTTATTTAGCTAATTATGAGAACTGGTTACTTTAGGTGTTCCAATCATCATCCATTGTTTTTCTTTTTCTGTTCTCATGTGCATATATGTGTGTATGTTCATATGTGTATGGGTATGGGGGAAGGTGTGTGCTCACATACTATGAATGCCCAAGGTTAATGTTGTGAATCATTCTAGGTCCTTCCATCTTATTCACTAGAGAAGGGTCTTTCAATCAAACTTAGAACTTGCAGATATGGCTTTTCTTGGTAGCCCCCTTGATCCAGGGATCCTCTTTCGACCTTCTGAGGCTTGAATTAAAGGTGGCCTACCATATCCACCAAGCATCTATATGGATTTTGAGCATCCAAACTCTGGTCCTCATATTTGCAGGGCAAGTCCTATAATTACTATCCATCTCCCAAGCACCTTCCATTAAGGTAGGACCCTATTGCTGAAGACACTACTCACTTCAGACAAAGCGGTTGGAGGAATCAATCTGGAACTGACCGGGAAGCCTCCTCCTTGAGAATTAACCTTCATAGTATCCTAAGGTGCTATATAAGCTGCCAAAGGAGAAAAGCAATCAACAGCCCTAAGTAGCTCTAAAGCCTACAAAACACAGCAATGATCACGCGGCAAGGTATCACCAACAGTACAATAGCAGCACTTACATCCTGGGGATAAGCAACAACTGCCTAATTGGACTTAAGGCCCACTCAATAGGAAGGGATTCATGCATGGAACTACAAACCTAGCCAACTACCTGTGCCGGAAGAAGTCATAGAACCTGGAAGAGAACCTACCAATGCATTTTCCTTAATCAATATAGCTTCTATTTATATCCTAAACACTTACCCTTACACCAAGAGCTAAGTGTGGCTCTCACTCCTAATCAATGGAGCTTCTTTTTGCAACAGATGGGGCTATTATGGAGACATACAGCTCATCAAAATGCAGAGAATAAGTGATCATAGGTGTCCAGCCTCTATTGGTACATCCATAGCCCAACTCCTACATCAAAGACTCAAGGAACATTGTAGATGAGGAGACAGAATGAATGTAAGACCAGAGGACCAGGACACTTGCTATAAGATAGTGCCTTTTAGATATGAGGGATGCCTCACCCATAAAGTCTCAATAAGTTTGGTTGCCTAAACACCTCACAAAGATAGCCCAGTTGATATGCCAACATATATGTAGGAAACTTTATGAGAGCTATAGGCAGTCAGTGGCTGCTGAGAAAGGGAGAATCAGTTTTCTACAGGGATGAAAATTTGATGGGTTATCCAACACAAAACCACGTGGTCAGCCATAAAGACATGTACATACAAGAAACACTAATCCTGACCATATATTATAAGTCATGAGTTGTTTTTAGAATTGTCACTTTGGGGCATAGTAGCATACTCATTTAATCCCAGCACTTGGGAAGCAGAGGCAGGTAGGTCTCTGTGAGATCAAGGCTAGCCTAGTCTATATAGAGAGTTCCAGGCCAGCCAAGGCTACCTAGTGATACCTTGTCTATCTATCACCTCAGGCCCCCAAGCCAGCTGAACCTAAGGCTCTGCAGGTATTATACAAGAAAACAAGCCCTCCCAGAGGAATCTAACAAGTAGCTAGGGTAGGGAATGTTTTTTCTAAACTAAGGCTTAAGGTCATTATCTAACCGAAGTACCTCAACTTCCTACAACCCAGTAAATCTGAGACAAAGGTTAGAAGTGACTAATAAGGAGAAATGAAGAGAAACCCACAATCCACCCAGCTACACACTCTAAGTCAGTCACATACCTGTATTTGGTTTTATTTTTTTTTATTTTTTATTTTTTTTGGTTTTTCGAGACAGGGTTTCTCTGTGTAGCTTTGCGCCTTTCCTGGAACTCACTTGGTAGCCCAGGCTGGCCTCGAACTCACAGAGATCCACCTGGCTCTGCCTCCCGAGTGCTGGGATTAAAGGCGTGCGCCACCACCGCCCGGCTGGTTTTATATTTTTAAATTGTCTCACAATCACTTTTATAGTCAGGAAAAGAGAAAATTTATACATGTGCATATATACACTTAACTACATGCTCTTATTACCTTACTACAAACCCCTTTAGTGTGGGTCCTTGACAACTGTTTGCTTTGACAGCACAGGTATAGCTCCCATCTTACATCACTTCACCCTTTACCATCTTCATTTAATGGTGAGAAGCAGATGTGATACTGACGGTGGGCGTGGCATGAAGCTATAGCTGTAACAGCTGCTGTTTGTCGTGAGGCCACTGTTCTCTGCACTTTAGACAAGTGAGTTTTAGCCTATTTTGTGGGTGTTTTGTCTCTACGTTAGGTGCTCCACAGAAATGCCTTGACTGCTTTTTCTTTTACTGTTTTTGCAAGACTAGAGATTGAATCTAAGGCCTCATGCATGCTAAGCAGGCACTTTATCATTGAGAAACCCACAGATATGTATTTATTTATTCAATACATATTTATTTGTATGTTGTCTTGAGACAGGGTCTCACTGTTGCCCAGGTAGAGTTTTAACCCTCTGTGCAGTCCAGGCATACCTTGAGCTGAATCAGACTCCAGAGCAACTGGGATTACTGGCCTGGGCCGTCAGACCAGTTTCTGTGGAATTATTTTTAAATATTCTCCCTAAAACTTTATAAAAAGTTACTAGTTTTCTTTCTGGTTCTGTGGCAAACACCATAATCAAAAGAAACTATACCGTAATCAAAGGAAACTCAAGGAAGAAAGGGTTCGTTTCATCTTACAGCCCATCATGATGGAAAGTCAGTACATGAACTCAAGGCAGGAACCAGGAAGCAGGACATGAAGCAGAGGCCAGGGATCTTACTAACTTATACCCCATTGCCTTGCCCAGTCTGCTTCCTTATGCAGCCCACATCACCTGCCCATTGGTAGCATCACCCAGAGTAGGCTGGGCCCTCCCACATCAATCATCAATCACGAAAATGCCCCATAGGCTTGCTCATAGGGCAATCTGATAGAGACATTTTCTCAACTGAGGTTCTCTCTTCACAGATGACTCTTGCTTGTGTCAAAATATCCATGCACGTGTGATTGTGTTTTTTGTAAAAGCATAGTAAGAGAAATTGATTATTATTTTAAAGTAACAGTCAATGAATAATGTAAAGATATTTACAACTTTGTATTTTAATCCATTATAAGAAACTTTTCTACTCCATTATCTTCCAATCCATTATAAGAAAGACCAGATATATAGCAAAAAGGCAAATTATCTCCATTTTTTCATGAAACAAACAAAAAACCTGTTTAATCCATTGTATGTCACTTTAAGCTCAATTTAGGAAATTCTGAACAAATTCAGCCCTCAAGAAAAATAAATGGTAAATAAATAAATGTGATGGCCACATTTTCTTTCTATTCCTTTTAACTGATTTCATTTCCTCTTGCTAGTTTTCATTGATCTACCTTCTACTGTAACAGGGCCTCAGACCTTAGTAGGCCCCCATGCCTAAGCACAACTGACTCCATGATGGAAGTACCATTCAGACTGTAAAACTCAGCATGTAGACTGCACCACCTGCCAAACTAAAACAAAGACCTAATCCATCAAATCCATAGTTCTGGAAATGTCTCTAAATGGACTAACCTTGCTTTTTGGCTTCTGTAGTTCTGCTTCTACTAACTGTTCTTGTTAACTGAAGTGTGTCAACCCAGGACATGTCTTTGTGCTTAAAAGCTCAGCCTGAGAAAGGTCTGGGGCTACACTGGATCCTGAACACCCAGTGTCCTCACCAGTCAGCTAATAAAGACTTTCTATTGGCTTAAACTTATGTCCAAGCAGTTGTCTCTGGTGAATACCCCACAGCACTGTGTTTCCCTTTTGGATGCCCATATTAATTGTGTTTGGGGCATAGGTCAGAACACAATATGAAGTCACCGTCTTAAATGACCAAAGTTGTATTTCAGTCTAGACCTGGAAATTAGACTTTTTGACTGGTCAGCTTGGTTTGTTATTGATATACATTAATGCCTTTAGGGGACACACACTCTCAGCAAGCAGAAGTAAGTCGTATATGGACTCATTAAGTGTGGTTAGGGACTTAGATTTTAAGAATTTTATTTCATTTGCTGTGTGAATACTCATGAAAGGAAAAGCTCATAGTCCATTCAGAAGACCCCTGAAGACACTCCTGGGAATAACCAATTGCTTGATTAGCTATTTGGAAGTGGGGCAGAGCCTCTTAGGATAAAAGAAGAAAACAAAAGGAGCCCAAGCTTGAGAACATCAACAGAGATGGTGTCACTTACTGCATGATGAAGACTGGTGTGAGGATGATTTACGTATTCTTTAGAGGGAAGATGCAACCTAAGGTATGTAATGGAAAGCTGTACCTACTAGAGAAACACGGTAGGACTTCCTAAAGATGCCAACATGAAGTCTACCCTGGAAGTCTAAAGTAAAGTTGATGTGCTTAGCTTGTTCTGGTAGAAGCTCTGCCTCAGCCCCTGACATCCATATTGTACATCCAAAGAGTCTGGGATGATTAGGTGGAAGCCCCATCTCTCTCTCTTCCCAGACCCTGCCCCGCAAACCTGCCTCCTCAAAGCCTGCCAAACATTAGTCCCTCCCCTAGAGCTGCCCTCCTGTTCCAGACCCCAGCCCTGAGGAAGTCCACCAAAAGCCAGCTTCTCCTGGGGCTGCTCAAGACCACACCTACAGGTTACTTAAGGCCTGGTAGCCATATTTGCCATGTGACTCTTTCCCTATCTTTCCAAGGGTCACCCAGGATTGCTTTGCTCTGTTCATTAAACCTGAATTTATTAATTCGGCTTGATTGACTTATTACATTGGCAGCAGAGGAACCCAGCAACTGGGCATTCAAAACTTATCAGTGCTATCTTTAATAATACAAATAATAATAATAATAATAATAATAATAACTGATGGGGGAAACTGTCCATCTTTTTTACCACCCCAATGCTCTCCCTAGCGGAACTGAGTAGATGACCTTCCAGTCTTGCTGGAGTCGTCGTTCTCATAGTTTCTTTCAGTCCTTGCACACCCAGGCAAAGAGGAAAGATCCGCTCTTGTATCAATGAGCTGAATGGATGGTTTCCCCCACCACAAATTCCAAGTACCTTCTGCAGTGAGTCAAGTCTGAATAATAACAATGACGGATGGAAGGAAATTGCCCTTACCTTCTGTCATCCACACACCAGCAACAGGAAGGAAATGCAGATACAGTTGCTGTGACCCAATGGAGACAATGAACATTGGCACTGGAAAGAGTTAGGAACTCCATCAATCCCTAAGATTGCAACTGCTTCAGGGAGACTGATCCTACATTGGAGGTGTGTGGGGACTTGCGCAGCGTGTGTGAGGCCCTGGGTTCAAGTCCTAAGATTCCAGGCAGACACGAACAGAACAAAGAAGAGACTGTACTTGGCAAGGGCTATGCCCGGTAGTGTGGAGGTTGCTCTATGAAAGCTTGTAAAAGCTTCTGGAACATGATAAACAAGTGTTATTTTCTTTTCCCCAGTGGCCTTATCATGCCGTGATCAAATCAGGTGCTGGCAATATATTTAGGCTGTTGACATGAGACCAACTGAGGGCAATTACAGCTCAGTAGATGTTTAGGAATTAGTACCGATGGCAAAGTGTGCCAAAAGACTGCTTAGTCTAGCTGCAGTCTTGACCTAAATAGCAAATCAGGCATAGCGCTGGGATTAAAACTCTGACACCCAGGTTTTCAGTGAAAGGGTGTCTCTCTTCATTGTACTTCATGCCTCTTTATCAGCCCTGTGTGGTGAGAATTCACTGTAAAGGGAAAATTATTCTAAGAAACATCTTTCTAAACAGCCAGATAGAAATAGAAATAGATAGGGAGAGGGCCTGGATTCTTTCTCCTCTGGTAATTCTGACAAAGAGTTTGAAGACATTTCAACAGCTATTCTAACAGCTGTCATGCTTGGTGGTCAGTGTGTCAAACTCTTGAGTGTCTGGACTTGTAGACATGCCCTCCCCCATCCCAGCTTACTATCGTACGAGGACAAGCTGACCCTAAGAAGGACACTGAAGAAACACCCAGTTTTTAAACTTACCCAAGGAAAAGCAGGGGCTTAAAACATGAAAAATAATGATAAAAGCACAACCATGTGAACATTTTTTAAAGAAAAAGGAAAAGGATGTATTGTAGTAAAGACATGTTGGTTTTGGCTCAAGTCCCAAATGAATTGCCCTGTTAACTCTATACCTTGCCTCTCAAAACATGTCTGTGACATGAAGTCATTTGGAAAGTTTCTGGTTAATGATAAGAGCAAAGAAACCCAAATGAAATGTCAACAGTTTGTCAAGGCCTGTAACAGAAAGAGGTCGTTTGACAGTCAAAGCAGGGAAAACTAAAAATAGCTGTTTTAGCAGGTTGGTCTCCTGTTCTGAAATGTGAGAGGTTAATAAAAGAAAGAAGGAGGAAGACATACATAGCATCAGTCTCAGGCTCCAGAACTTTTCCAGAGCCTTCCATTTGTGCACAGTGTGCATTATATTGGAAGTCAAAGGAGCTGCTGGACTCTGAACATTCTCCCACTCTTGTTTGCAGAATACATGATCTCAGAGCAGCGAAGCAGGCCACCCTCAGTGGCAAGAAACCAGGACCAGAAAAGGGAAAATGGGGGTCCAAGTGACAGCCTGCGAGCAGGGACGTAGAACTAGCCAGCGGCAAAGGAAGTGAGGTTACAAATCAGAGTCAAATTAAGAACTAAGGTGGGGAAGAAACATCAAAGAGCCTATCAGGCAAACTGCACAGTCTTTAAAACCATAGCCCGGAGCCAGAGTTCTGGAGGGAAAACACCACTCCAGGACACACCAGCTGTATGACCTCAGGGCACCTGCTCACTTCATGTTACCTCTGTGTGTGATGTGAGTGATTAAACCTTCCTCATGAAAGCTTTCTTAGCACCGAAGTCTATGTACCTGCTGAGAACAATGGCACCTGCCTATACTGTCCAGTCCTCAGAAACTCAGCTCCTGGCTCCTATGTATCATTGAACACTTACGATGCCTGCTCTAGGCCAGGCACTGTGGCAGTGGCTTGGACCCTAAGCTCCAGTAAGAAGCCCAGCCTACTATAAGCCAGTTCCTCTGTGAGACTGTCTTCACTAACTGTGTGAAACAGAATCAATCTGGTTTGAACTCGCCTGGTTTTTTTCTATCTATGTATAGAATTATTACTTTCACAGTGTTATTCTGACACATATGTTTTCAGATCTGACAAGCTGACATTCACCATTGATTTGGATTATTATATCTGATGGTAAGTCCTTGATGGGCATGATCACATCAAATTCCTCTGAACACCCAGAAGAGCACAGCACCTAACAAAGACGAGGTGACCATGCCCAGCGAGTCTAACTTAAGGGGGTCTGATTTTCAAAGGTTTTCCTTTTATGATTATGAAAGGTATTGTATTGTTATTGTACTTGGTGTTTTGAATCCTGGTATTTCCCCAGCTAGGAGTGCATGGTATGAGCTCCTCAAGGGAGATCACAGTGAGCTGCAGCTCAGGGCCAGCCATGAAGTCACAAGGGTGAAGTACCCATGTTCTATAGTGTACTGTGGTATTAAACTGTGGCATTCAGTTAGGTTAGGTTTTATCAAATGGCTTTCCATCTTAGTATTTTTCCTTTATGGTAGGTTCATAGGGTAACAACCCCATTATAAGTAGGTCATCTGGACACATAAATGAATAAGTTGACATACTTTAGTTTTTAGATGTTCATTGTTTTTTAGATACCCACCCCCACACACTCTTCTTTCCCTGACTCCTTTTTTTTTTTTTTTTTATCTAGAGCTGAGGACTGAACCCAGGGCCTTGCGCTTGCTAGGCAAGCGCTCTACCACTGAGCTAAATTCCCAACTCCCCTGACCCCTTCTTAATATCTCCCATATGCTTCCACGTGTCCAACACACATTGTCTTTTAGAATTTTTCAAGTCTTAGTAGAAAATGTAATCTCTCCAGTTTTAACAGGAAATGTGTGGTTCAGCATAATTAAAACTGCCTGCATGACTACTGAGATTCTAATCATGATTTGTCTAATGCCAGAATTCCAACTGTCTCCCTGCAGCACTGAACTGCCCCTTCGGGTAAACGCGGAAGACTGAGCAAAGGGGACTGTCTCTAGCGCAGGACACGACAAATCTAAGCAGCACAGTGCACTCATTCATAGGAAGCTGGTTTTAAAAATAGTTATGGCAGCCTTAATGCTTAAGGTATTCCAACAATGCTCTGTGGTATTTGGCGGATTTTTCCCCACTTCAAAGTCTTGTTGAACACATTTTGAAAGATTTCTTTCATTTTCATTCGTGGATCTACTTACCTAAGAGTTTCTCACAATGAAAAGATACATGCTAATGAATGATCATCACTTTTGTTAAGTGGGACTGACCAAGCAATATGAAATAAAAAAATGTAAGATAAAACAAATCCATATGTTGACACTTCTACACATAAAACTTCTATTAAACTACTAAGGTATGTATGTAAGGGTATAGGAAACTGTATTTCTAAATTATATAGCTCACTTTGTAGAATGTCTAAGGTCGGAGTTTCTGATTATGTTGGGCACATTGATGGAGACGTAAAAGGGATGTCAGGTGGAGGGTGTCTGTTGGAAGCCCATTGGCTGGAGTTCAGAGGGTTGAGGCACTGCCATCCCTTGCTACTGTTGCGACAACTGCTCTTTGCTTCTGACTCAGATCCAAACACCCTGCAAGTTTTAAGATCCAGTCAGCTCCCTGCACCAAGAAGCCCTGTAGTGACCTTTCATTTCCACCTGGTCGGTGCTGTGGTTCCTGAAGATTCCTCAGACAGGCTGCGACTCATCACTGCTTCTATTTTAAGAACTGCCTTAAGGAGTCCACTTTACTTTGGTTCTTGGTGAGGCCAACCTTTAAAAATGCTATTTGGCCATCTTATTAGTGTGACCATAATGGAAATTCTTCATACACTCTGACCTAACTTTCTCTCTTCTGAGACCTAATACTGTGGTAAAATACATCAAATTGTCGTCTTGATACCTCTGGGCATGTTAAACTGAATATATCTAAACCTGTTAGTTCTTAACCCCAAAGCTCTTCTTGCAATCTTGCTCATCTTAGAAAATGACAACTCCAATTGCTTCCTCACTTCTGTCTGTCTTTCCTACTCACATAGAATGCATCAGCAAACAGTGTTTGATCCTCTTCCAGAACACTCCACTGAGCCAATCACTCCTCAGCGTGTCCTGCCACTTGCCCAGGACAAGCCACTCTTTGGATTTCCCAAATTATTTTTGTAGCTCCTTAATTGCTCCCCTTGCTTCTACACTTCCTCTAGTGCTGTCGGAATGAATCTTTGATGTTCTCATATAATGCCCCACTTTTCAGTCTAAAAATCTTCCAGAAATTCTCCCCTCACCCAAACTAAACTGCAAGGCTACAAATGCTCTCCTTCCCGTCGATGTGATCCCATTCCTTCACCGTCTACTTCTCCCACTCCTCTCCACCCTCAAAGAGCTCACTTTCATTCTTGAGCATCAAGCACCATCCTGTCTGTGCTGTTGGACCTACATCTCCTGTTACCAACAACTGGTTCACAAATATCATTCACATTCTTCACTCTTTGGAGACTATATTTAGACATCATCTTGTCGGCACAGTTGACTCTGACATAAAATAGCACCTTGTGTAAAGTAAATCACTCTCTCCCAATCTACTGCCCGTTCTCCCTTTGTAACATGTTGTTAACGTGGCACAATCTACAGCTTTAGAATTCTGTTTTCTCCAGTTCCACCATGCATGCAAGAATCTTGCCAGCTTCCCGTTGTCTACTCCAACCCCGGAGAGCTGTGTAGTAATAGATAAATATAATCAGTATTATCACTGAACGAAAGACTGCTGTGGCGCCTCCTTTATCAGGATGTTATGTGTTGAGAGGAGACTGCAAGGTTTTTTTCTCTTTCAAGGAGCCACCAGCTCAGTGGTCCAAGTCATCGCACTGGAGTTGTGAGGAGTCGAGCTGGGAGGAAACCATGGTCAGTACAAGGCTGGAAGCTTGTTAGTGTGTACCAACATCTCGAACTGAATTCCAGGTTCCCTGAGAGCCTGCCTAGTGGAAACCAAGATTTTCTAGTTAATTGTTTTCTCAGAGCCATACAAAAGTAAATTGTAAACAGACGGCCTCATCAGTACTCAATACCTTGGACACACAGTGGCCCCTCCCCAGGATGTTCTTTCACAAAACTGTGATGTAAACTTCCAAATCAGGAAATCACCTCATAAACATACTGTGCAGTCCACAGACCTCATTTGAATATCCCAATTATTTATTTTCCCACCTACTCCAGGATCCTATCCAGAATCCTTTGCTGGATTTAGCCGTGACAACCGATTCTCTTCAAGTGGGACCTGCTAGTTCTGTCTTCCATTAGTTTAAGAGTGTTAGCTTAGCCTTTCATTTCATAGGATAGATCCAGACCTGTTTGTGTTTCCCAATGTGCAGACAGACCTGGGATGTGTATATTGTGACAAAACGCTTCTGTGGTTTCTCTGTGAATCTCACTAGGGGGCACACACTGTGATTCCTTCTATGGCTGGTGATCTGTACCACGATCACTCCATCAGCTTTGAGTCTTCCAAAATTCTCTTCAGTAAATAGCATCTGCCCCTTGTAAAACAGTATTTTTCAGAAGATACTTGGCTAACACCCTGTTTTGCCTGGAATACCTACCCCCACAGCTTTGTTATCCACCCATGACTCCACCTGAAGCTACCAACACTCTGTCAGATGGAGCCTTCCTATCGCCATTACTCCCGTGAGTAGGCGTTCCCACCATTCAGAAGTGCAGTTTCTTCTCCATAAGTTGTTTGCTTATCGTTTATTTATATTAGCATATCATCATTTATTTATATTAGCATATCATCATTTATTTATATTAGCATAAGTTAACTTCTTATTCATTAGGTTTTAGTCAATTACTATCTTCATTCCAATGAAGAGTCTGCCTGGGGACCTGTAGCTAACAGGCTCTTCCCCCAGATCCAGGGGGGCTTGGGAGCTAGCAGCCACTTCCATCTCCTCAGCATTGGGCGCTATATAAAAAGCACTGCTCTAATTACCTAAAAGCCTTTTTTAAAAAAAAAAGAAAGAAAGAAAGAAAGAAAGAAAGAAAGAAAGAAAGAAAGAAAGAAAGAAAGAAAGAAAAGAAAACAATGCATAAGCTAGAAGCACATACAAATCCAGCACACCAAGTACCATAGAGACAGAATCTTCTAAGTTGCTCTTGTGACTGCTTCTAATTTGGGTACAGCTGGGGTTCTCTCTGCTCCCCCAGCAGCCACCAGCTGCCTATACGGCTGCCCAAAGTAAGAGAAGCTGTGATGGTAAGTAGACAAGAAGATTGAGAACTACCATGTAAATATATAAATAAGTAAATAGACACTTTGTATTACTGGTGTCTGAAGCTATGGAAATCACTGGTGAGGGGGTGTACCAACCACCCAGACATCTAATTGGTAAAGAACTTCTGTTAGAACACTACTCTAGGGAAACTATTCTCCGCTGGCTTGTGTTCATCTCCGTGCACAGCTGGAGAACACACTTCAAACCGTAACCCGAACAAGGCCTCCCTTGTCTGCTGATGCTGTGAGCCCTCTATGACGGGTCATGGCTCCTAGAGGGAACACAGGGGCAAAACGTCCCATTCGGAGTTTTAAGGTCTGAGAAAAGATTTTTCTTTTTCTACGAAAACAAACGCCACATACTGGCTTCCAGAGGAGAGGAGAGAAGTCTCTATCTACACCACAGACTGGTTCCTAGACCAGCAAGCGCTCATCACCAGGGACCCCATCCCGACCCAATGAAGCTGAAACTCTCCTGCACTAGAGCGGATCAGTCCTGCTTTTAAAATGGGATTCTGACAGCCATTGTCCTAGATATTCAGGATTGGGAGGCAAGGGCTTCGTGACCAACCAGCCCTGGGACCCTCTGCACATCTTCCAGCAAATGGAAAGGTTGTTCGAGAGAGGTACAAACTCTTTTCTTTATTTAAGGCTCTGGCAGCTGTGCTCAACACAAAAGCCCTAAGGTTTTTTCCCTTTGGCCCCAAATGATCTAAGCGGCAAGCTGAGACTGAATTTGAGGCCCGGCAGAGGTCGCTGACGCCCAGGAAGAGAGACAGAGTGAGCGTGGCAAGGGGAGCCCAGGAGCTTTGACATCACACTAAGCTCCTCCTTGCACGCACACATCACACACACACACACACACACACACACACACACACACACACACACAAAACATACACAGACACGCACAAATCGCTGTACCCCTGTCCGCACGCTCCCCACCCCCCATCCCATCCACCCGGGACCGTCCCCTTCCTCGACAAGTGAGCGTCCCGGGCGTAGCCACCTAGTCAGGCCAGGAGCGCAGCGCCCACTGCCCTAGGGAACCCACGCGTAGCCGGAGCGACCGCCTCGACTGCAGCTGGACAGACAGTCCCAGCCCCAGGGACCTCGAGCAACCCGCCCCCGCCCCGCCCGGCCGCGACGAGCAGATCCGCCACCCCCTCCAAACTCCAGGACCCCCGACACCTCTATGAGAGAAGGCGACGCAGGGCAGAGAAGCAGTACGCCCGGCAGCCCGACTCCCCTGCAAGCTCGCAGCGTCCGCTCGGTGTCGGGGCCGCGATCACCACCCGGGAAGCCCGATGCCAGCGCCGCCGGTCGGCTGAGAAGGGACAGGACCGGCTTCGCCCGCTCGCCCGGAATCCGGTCGCCGCAGCGGCTGCGTGTCCTAGCTGGGGCCCCGCCGGCCCGGGAGTGAGCCGTAGCGACAGGAGGACCGACGCGGCCGACCGGGGGTTGGCCCGGCTGGGGAAGGAGGGACGGAGTGGGAGGAGGGCACAGGGGGCGGGGAGGGGACCCCGGAGGAGAGAGATGGCAATGTCTCTCATCCAAGCGTGCCGCAGTCTGGCTCTCTCAACATGGCTGCTTTCCTTTTGTTTCGTGCATCTGCTCTGCCTGGACTTCACGGTGGCGGAGAAGGAGGAATGGTACACCGCCTTCGTGAACATCACCTATGCGGAGCCCGAGCCCGGGGCCGGGGTGGCGGGCGGCGGTGGCGGCGCCGAGCTGCACACGGAGAAGACCGAGTGCGGACGGTACGGCGAGCACTCGCCCAAGCAGGACGCGCGCGGCGAGGTGGTCATGGCCAGCTCGGCCCACGACCGCCTGGCTTGCGACCCTAACACCAAGTTCGCCGCGCCGGCCCACGGCAAGCACTGGATAGCCCTCATCCCCAAGGGCAACTGCACCTACAGGGATAAGATCCGGAACGCGTTCCTGCAGAACGCCTCGGCCGTGGTCATCTTCAACGTGGGCTCCAACACCAACGAGACCATCACCATGCCCCACGCAGGTGAGCGACCCCGGGGGTCCCTGGCGGACGTGGGGGAGGGGAGCCCGAGAGGCGTATGGGAGACCCAGCGCTGCCTCCGGGGCACCTCTGCTTGGAAAGTCCGTGCAGCACCAGGGGCCGGTCTCTTATATAGGGACCTACTAAGTTTTGTTTGCTTCGCTTGGGGACAGGGAAGGAGGTTACAAGCAGGAGAGGTTTCAGTATGTTGGGGAATGTCAGAGAGTCTGGTTCTGGAGAGGGTTCACAGTGGTGAGCTGACAGACTTCTCCCAGGAGAATTTGGGAAGTGAGGTTTGGAGGGCAGAGCTGGTATTTTCTTGTTAGTGACCCGCCCTGGCACCTGTCTGGAACCGGAAGATCTGATAACTCAGCTCTGCGCTTCTCTGTGTGCATCAGGTATACATACCTGGTGCGAGTGTTTGTGTATCAAGAGGCAGGTCAAGTTACCCGCCTGCACTTGACCCTTTGCAAAGGGCTCGCACAAAGTCAGGTTTCAGCCCTTCTCGGGAGCCCCTTCCCCTTGTTGAGTTTACACAGACCATAAATAGTATTCAATGTACTGGCTCTGACGGGGCTGTCATCTAGAGAGAAACTGACTGGTGGGCGCCGTGGTGAATAACAGCAATGCCCAGCAAGCCAAGAAGAGCAATAAAGTTAGAATTACTTTCCACTCTTGTGCTGGCCTTTGCCTGGCTGTTTCGGTGGCTGAGGACGGCACTGCAAAAAGGAGCTTTGCTGGGGATCACCGGGCCCAGGACTAGAAATAAACACTATTACCTCAATTCAACACAGTCTATAAGCAAAGTTTCGGCGAGAGGAGTTAACAGAGGCTACAAGCTGTATTACTCATAATTGTTAGCACAAGCCACTGGTTTAGGAAACTACCCTCCTTGAGTGCAGGCTTCTACAGAGGTGCCTGAAAGGTGGGTCCTTTTTCCTCACAGGTTTCCTGAGATGAGGCTCCTGGAGGCAGTGGGGGGCGGGGCGGGGGGAGGGGGGGCAGGAAGTGAGAGAAATGACAGGCGCTTGCTGAGTGGAGTAGCCCAATCCAAACTATTATTGCAACTGAAGGACAGATTCTTCAATAAGCAGACAACTGAGATGGAATACCCGGATTGGCTGTGCAGCCCTGTTTTCTTCAGAGACAGGCTTTCCTTTCGAGAGCTCATATCACCTATTGGTGAAATATACAATTAATTTGCCCCCTGTAATCAACACCAGCTGTTACAGACAAGGACATTTGTCAACCTCGGGGCAAACAGGTTGGGAGGGGAAATGCCAGAGGCTTATGAAAAACAGGCCAGAAAAGAGCAGTGTTTTCATGAAGGGAGGCCATTACCTTCCTAGAAAAGTCCCCACCCTGCATGTCAGAGGTATTTGCTGTGTTTCCTTGAGCTCAACCATTCTCCCAGGGAGAGGCCTGCACTCTGACCTTGAGTCAGAGGACCGCTGCTAAACTTGATCTCCAAGGATGTTTGCACTATGGAAGAATGCTCCGAGTCATGTAAGGTATCTCTCAATTAACATTTAATACGGAAAATGTAGATTCAGGAGTGGGAAGCAGGGCATGCAGGAGTTACCCTGGGTTCTGTAAACACCAGGGTTGTTAGTTGAATTTACAGGATTCCTTAAATGCTTCTCCGTGTCACATGGGATCTGAAACTGAGTTTCTCTGTGCACAACATAATAGCTATCATTTGTTCCTGTCTAAGAAACTGTTTCCAGAACCGCAGACACACTGGGGCAATTAATGGCTCACCCGTTCTTGAAGAAAGCTATAATTTGATTTTTACACAAAAAGATGCTTAAGGCACACTGAGAGGGAAAGGTTTGGTGATAGTCTAAAAGTCAAAAGCTCCAAGAATGTAATAGTTCTCCATCTCAGAAAAAATATTAACTGTTAAGGTTGTATCTGCCATTAGCCTTGGACTCCCTGTTATGCCTTGGACGAGTTCCTGCATTAGTCAGAGCAGGAGTTCTCTACAGGACAGTATGATGCTCAGGATGAGCACATGAGCCTGCCGATCGATGCCTTACACTTGCTTCTAGAACCTTAAGGCTGGGTTTCTCCTCATTACATGTGAGTCAGACTTGGAAACTCACATAGGAAACCATGTACAGGTTAGATGTCAAAGAAATATTCATATTTTATGAGTTTGGAACACAGGACACCAGGGGACACAGTTGTGGCCTTTTAAATCTAGTCCCCTAAAGGTTAGAGAAAAAATAAAAGCCAGTATTTTCTTACCTCTCCATTGATGCCCTGATTTTTGGAGCTGATAGCTTTGGGGAAAGAAGGCTTGCATTTGGAATTCTGGAGACCACCTATAATCTCCAGGCTTCTGATATGATAGGCCCCTAACATACCTAACAAATACAAATTCAATTAAGTAGAAATTATTTTCTTCTCTCTCTTTTCTTCTATGTTCTTTCTTTCAGATATTTTCTTTTTCTGAACCCATGGCTTTGAGTTTCTGCTACTTCTGCAGCTGTCACTTCTCAGGCACAAAGATGTGGCCGTTCCTGATACACATGGCAGCTTATTATTCAACAGGGAATTACTAGGCTTCATTGATATATGGTTTTCACACTATCAAATTCATTATTTAGACAGTGCCATGTTGCTTCACATATTGACCAAGCTAGGTGACCACCATACTGTCTAACCTCAAGGACATGTCTACCTGTTTGTAGCTGTTCCTCTGAATGCGTACAACCAATGCGTACAGGCCCAGTCAAATGTTAGCCTGCATCCTTTCTTCCATCTCTGTGTATTTGTCTCTTGTTCACGGAGTGTGGGTGAAATAATTCTCCAGTATGTGGACTTGGTTGAATTTCTTTTACATACCATACTCTTCCCTGTGTTCACAGGGTTGTCATAAGTGTCACTATTTCATTTATTTTACTGCCAAATAGCATTTCACGTTTTATTTATTGTCAACTGATGGACATTTGGTCATTTCTACTTTGGGAGTTTTATGAATGATGCTGTTACATAAATTCTTGAACTGTTTTCATGAGTGTGCTCATGCACATACGTGCACTCCTGTACGTGTGTGAACTTTTGTGTATTTCTCTTAGGTTTATTTTGAGGAGGCTTACATGGCCACTCTATGACTTTTGAGGAACTGTCATATCCCTTCCTTATGCTGGTTAGTTTCGTTGTCCATGTGGCACAGGCTAAGGTCATCGGGGAAGAGGGAGCCTCAGTTGAGAGACTGCCCAAAAAGATTGGCCTGCAGGCAAATCTGTGGGGTATGTTCTCGATTAATGACTGATGCGTAATGGCCCAGCCCAGGGTGGGTAGTGCAGATGTTCCTGGGAGGTGTAATAAATCAAGCTGAGCATGACCCCGGCAAGCAAGCCAGTAAGCAGTGTTCCTTTGTGGCCTCTGCCTCCATGTCTCGAATTCCTGTCTTGACTTCCCTCAGTGGTGCGTTGTGACTTGAGAGTTATAAGATGAAATAAATGCTGTCTTCCCTGGGTTGCTTTCAACCATGGTCTTTATCACAGCACCAGAAAGCAGATGAGGTCATCCCTGAAGTACCTAGTCATTTTCTATCCCTGCCACCAATCGTGAGGTGCCAGTCCCCAAACCCCCTCCTTAGCACTTGTTAACTACCTTTTAACCAAGGTCATTGTGAGGTGGCATCTTCATTATGGTCCCATTTTGATGGCAGCTGCTTTGTCTTTTAGGCATGGTCTTGCTAGATAGCCCAGGCTGGCTGCAAACTCACAATCCGCTAGCATCAGCTGCAGAGTCCTGCACTTGTAACTGGGCCACTGTGCCCAGCTTACCAGTTCCTTCTTCAAAACATGTTCCCAAGTGAACTTTTCCCTTTTCACTTTGTCCTCCTCCACTCTTAGGTCAGCCAGTACCCATTCTTTCTTAGGCTTTCAATTCATGTAGCTTTTGTCCAGGAGGGTGGGAAAGAAGAAAGAGGAGGGGGCAGAAGAGACAGAGGAAGCCGGGGAGGGGAGGAATGAATATGTCTCAGTGAGGACAGGTACCGTTGAATTTGCCTGTCCTCTATAGAGAGGTAGGAGAGGCAGCATCTGTAGAGAAAGCATCCAGGGGCCAGAAGGAACAGCTGGCCAGGAGTGCAGCCTCCCCTGGTGCAGGCCCTGATGGGAAAATGCAGGTGCACACAAAAGGAGTGGGACCCTTGGAGCTGGTCTGATGCCTGCCCAAGAGCCTTCCTCAAATGTCCTGTGAGGGAAGGACACCAAAGCTTTCTCTAGGCCTTTGTGGGCAGGTTAACTAGAGCACAACTCTAGAGGAGACCTCTTGGCTCTTCGGTTCTCATGCTGTGTGAGTTTGAGCAACTTATTCAACCTCCCAGGACTTCAGTATCCTCCTTTGTGACAGAAGTTCTCCCTGAACTGATGGTTCCATGACTTCCATGGGTTAGTACACAGGTATCTGCATCTTCCCTACATCTGAGCTGGAGCTCGGCACTGGTCTCTCATTGAACCTGGGACCCACCATTTTGCATAGGATAGCTGGTTGCCAGACCCCAGGATTCACCCGTCACCACCCTCTCGGGTTGGCTTTGGTATGTGGTTGCTGGGGATCTGAACTCAGGTCTTCACGCCTGTGAAGAACCTTGATTCATTGGGTTGTTTTCCCAGACCCAATGTCAACTCTTGTAACTCAGTGACACACAGCAACAGACAGAAACTATATTATAGACCACCATATCCCCTGGCTCACCAAGCCTCGAGCAACCTTAAGAAGGAACTCTTCATTCGTTCTTCCATGCTTTAGTGACAGAGCATTTAGTTACTCCATTTCCACTGATCACCTCCCTTGTTTGAAAGAGGGTGCTCTGCCGCTCTGATCGTTAGGGAGCTTGATCCGACTCTGATGACACAGATACCTTCTCTAGGCTGAAACGTCATTGTCATCACAGTGAGGACAAGCGTGCTACCTGTGATGAATCCCCATGTGAGCATCTGTCTGTATCTGAGTTACCTTATGGAAGAAGTGGTATTTCCCCC